GGGTGTCATTTATTAACACGGTTATTCCTCTGTCCCCATACTGCTAAAATTCCTAAAAATTACTGAAAAATCAATTTTACGGAAAATAAATAGACATACTCCATTTTCTAGAGATACAATCTCGAACGAAATTAAGGGATGAAGAAATTTTGATCGAAAAATCGCCCACCTTTGAATTACCATAACTTCGTAAGAAAATATCCTACGACTCTCATCTTAGACTCGTTTTAAAGCTCGAAATCTCTAACTTTGCACAGGTAAACAGAAGTTTCTCGGAAATTTTTTCTCCTTAGAGACCACAGCGAAATTCTAAAGTAGTCTTCTTCTGAAAAATCTATCAACTTCGAATTTCTCCATGGTGCTTCATAAATTTTTCCTGGCACTGATTTTACAATACACGTGTAAAAGGAAACCTCCTTATTACAACCACCTTCTAAAATTCGACCTCCAATTATTTTTCACCGAGTTATTAATTATTCACCAATGAAGATGGTGTCAAATTTTCTTCTATCATCCCTTCCTCTAAAATTCATTAAGACCAACACACGCAAAAAATAGCGTTGTATCGTAGGCTCGAGGACCCTAAAGGGAGAGGGTCATCAAAGAGAGAGCCAGTGAAACTGAGTGGACGAGACAAAAACTATCCATCGGGAAAATATTTGTCGATGAACAGTTCACCGATGGGTCTGCGATATTTTCGAAGGGGTGAGGGTAGGTTTAAGGAAAATTAGGGAAAGCGAGGGACCTCTCAAGGGAGGGGGATCCTTTCTTTCTTGATAGAGGTCTGAAGAAGTGTGGAGAGGCGTTTAGGGTTGTTTCGAGTTGTCTTTTCTTGAATAATATACACAGTTACTACTATAATTCGGTGAATGGGTTAATATGCTATGACGTGGGAGATTCATCACTTAGATAAATTAGACGATTATGCTAATGAAAGGGATCAACGAGTGGGGGTGGAATTTCTCGCGCAGCGTCACGACGCTTGGATCACGGAACACGTGTGTTTTATCGATAACAGTCCGCGGCCGGGCTGTTTGCCCGGTGACTCGATGAAAATGCCACATGCTTAAATAGCCCGATTGATCGATCTACAGAGATCCAGGAACGTACGACGTAGCGTTGCAGTTCCCTCGTCGACGTCACATGTATCTCGAGCCGTGTGACGTATCACGGATACAGACGCGAATAGAAGCGAGATCAGAGAGGGTTAATTTTAGCCACGGATTAATTAAGATCCCTAAATTTTGCAACATTTTCTGTCGGCCCGGATGGCCGATGATCGTCAATTAAAAAAACCAGACGCTCGTCAGACGAGCAAAGATCGGCTCGCTGCTTCTAGCCATTTTGTTTTAATTATTTACGTCCCCATGGGCGGATATAGGGCTCTAATTAATTTTCCATTTAACCCGTTCGTGGGAGTACGAATTATTTTGATTACAGCGATGGTATCGCTGATGCGAATGTTTATTTGCGCAAACACGCGAATTAGATTTGCGTTGCGGATATGGTAATTAAACGTCCTTCAATTACGATTGCAATAGGATATTATGTAACTAATTTGTGATTTTTGATGCATCACAATATTTTAGTGCGAAAGATTTTCGTATTTGGTAAGCTTCGAAGGTGTAGCTAATTAATTTTGTTTTGTCTTTGGATAAAGTTTCTCGAATAATTATGTCTTCTCTGCTGTTTCGAAATTCATTAATTCAACGCGTTTTCGATATACGAATATATGAATTATTCACGAGGATTGTATAAGTTACGAATATTATAAGTATGTATATAAATAAATATAATAAATACGAGTGTGATAATATACAAATTATTCATGGGATTTTTGGGAGCTTGAGCGAAGTGAATGATTAAAATATTCCCCCCAAAATACAATTTTTCAAATAAATATCTCTTCCTCGATATTTTATAATTAAACTATAACGCGTCCTCGATAATCGAATACCTCTATTACTCACGGGAATCACATGAATTATACATATAATAAATATGTATATCGATGAATATAAGGATAAATGAACATAATATCGTATAAATCACTCGTGGATTTTTTGGAAGCTTGAGCGAAGTGAGTGATGAAATTTCGTATTAACATCTCTTGCGCGATTTTTCGCGATACGTTAAATCAACGAAACCTCGATAATCGAATGCCTGAATTACCCACGGAAATTAGCGTTGCAATCCAACACACGAAACAGCGTCCCGATCACGACTCGTTACGCATAATCGCGTTTATTTCCGGTACATAAACGCGGTTGTATTTCCGTTTCGTAGCCGCAGCACGTGTTTCCGATGCACAACAACAACTTACCACGCGGTCGAAAATATTCCATAATCGTAAATTTCGCGCGAGTCGCAAGCAAGGTTGCACAAAAGAGAGAGAAAAATAAGAGGAAAAAGACGTGGGAAATAATAAACAACGAAACAGGAAAATTTCTCGGAAAATTCCACACCTGTTTTCGTCGTATCGCTACACTCTAGAAATTTCAGAATCGTTGGAAAGCGCGAAGCAATGAAGATTCTCTAGTTTATGGATTTCCTCTATGGGCTTTCAGAAATTTCGCGAATGGGAAATAATATACGAAGAAACAGGAAAATTTCTCGAAGAGTTTCACACCTATTTTCGTCGTATTACTATACTCTAGGAATCCTAGAATCGTTGGAAAAACGCAAAGCGATGAAGATTCCCTAGTCTATAGATTTCCTCTATGAGCTTTCAGAAATTTCGCGAATGGGAAATAATATACGAAGAAACAGGAAAATTTCTCGAAGAGTTTCACACCTATTTTCGTCGTATTACTATACTCTAGGAATCCTAGAATCGTTGGAAAAACGCAAAGCGATGAAGATTCCCTAGTCTATAGATTTCCTCTATTAGCTTTCAGAAATTTCGCGAATGAGAAATAATAAACGAAGAAACAGGAAAATTTTTAGGAAAATTTCACACCTGTTTTCGTCGTATCGCTACACTCTAGGAATCCTAGAATCGTTGGAAAAACGCAAAGCGATGAAGATTCCCTAGTCTATAGATTTCCTGTATGAGCTTTCAGAAATTTCGCGAATGGGAAATAATAAATGACGAAACAGGAGAATTTTTAGAAAAATTTTACGCCTGTTTTCACCGTTTCGCTACACTCTAGGAATCCTAGAATCGTTGAAAAGGCATAAAACGAAGAAGATTCTCTAGTCTATGGATTTCCTCTATGGGCTTTCAGAAATTCCGCGAATGGTTCGCGTGAATGATGCAGGGGAGATTCAGAGACATAAAATTGTTGCAGGGTGGTTCGTGCGAGTCGTTGTCGTCGAAAGGCGGAGCCCTAACCGGAAGTGACTCCGGGGTGCTCGAGCTGAGCGACAGCGGCGGAGGAGGCCCTCCAGGGGAATGGGACGCGGTCCCAGGCGTAGTCAGACAGTGCATCAGGCACCTGGAAAACACTGGCCTCCGGACGCTCGGCGTGTTTCGGGTGTCGCCTTCGAAGAAGAGGGTGAGACAGGTGGGTCTTTTACTGGGTAATTAAATCATCGTCGAAACGATTATACCTATAAATACTGTGTTGTCATAATACAGGGTGGTCACTGAAATATTGGAGGATTTGAAAAAGTCAAAATTTGTTCATTTCCAATCTTTCTTGTCTTATAATATACCATTCCGTCTTTCAGTGAATACCCTGTATATGATTTGAATTTTCCATGAAATATATCGTGTTCTTCTGTTGGGTAATTACTTTTTCCCCATGTCACTATCATATAGTACGTAATATATTCGCAAGCCAAAGTAATTAACCCCATTTTCCGAATTTTCCAAAATTGAAGTGTCAGAACAGTTGACCGATGCTCAATTTTCTACATATAAAATAAATTTCTAGTTTTCTTTTTTTTTTTAGAGTTATTAAATTTTATAAATGAGCGACTATAGATTGAATTCTAATGAAATTATAGTCGGAATGTTTTGAAACGATATTTCAAAATGAGTATACGCTTTTCCAGCTGCGAGAAGATTTCGATTGCGGTCGTGAGACAAAGATCGGTCCAGATCAATGTCCCCACGACGTGGCAGCCCTTCTGAAGGAGTATTTTCGAGATCTTCCTGATCCTCTACTCTGCAGGGACCTCTACCAAGCCTTCGTCCATACGCAAAGTAAGAATAAAGCGAACATGGTCTATGACAGTCTGTCTCTGAACCTGGTAGAACGTCTGCAACCCCGTAACAAGTCATAACTGAATCATCTCAGAATAAATCCGACACTTGACTTTCAATCTATCGTCAAACCTCTCGTATTAACTACATTATTCGACTCAGTCTCACAGACAATTCTGTGAGTAAATTAGACGATAATGTATAATTATAAAATACTACTATTGTTATTGTGCATATATGAAATTAATAATTCTAATTATTCTACGCTATATTTCTCTATCTCTCTAATACTCTTTGTCTCGCACTGACACTATCTACTCTCTATTCTTCTATGACTGACTCCTCCCCATAACAATCACCGAGCACTCCAACTATAAGACTATCCTCTCGTCCATGAAACACTCATACTTCACCGTCTCCTGAAACCAATTCCACAAATTCGAGTTCCAGTTCCAGAGCGAAGAAATGGAAAGCTTTGTTGGCTCTCCAAACCAATTTCTCTATTCCCCGCTATTATGTCATCGAGTTCTCTAACTTTCGAGTATCACATCGGAATAGTTGGATAGAGAAGAGAAATTCGATATTAACGGGAAAAAATTCAATCCAGAGTGGTCTCTGCACGGTATTCGGGGTATTCGTAGGGCCGAAAGGACAGAGCTCGGATAAATTTTCCATCCTCGACATTGACGCACGAGTTGTCCGCGTGCACTGAAAGAACACCCCTGTTCCCCGCAGAGATCCGGAACAGGCGACTTCAGCAAGAGGCACTCCAACATCTCGTTCAGCTGCTGCCTACGCCAAATCGTGAGACGCTCTGGGCACTTTTGAACTTCCTTAGCGTGGTGGCGGCTAACAGCGAAGATCAAAAGAGCGAGACAGGCGAGTGGATACCGGGGAACAAGATGGACACGACCAACTTGGCCACGGTGAGTGCCATCCGCGACTCGGATCGAGACCTCGTCCAAAAGCTTTCGGAACTTTGTCGACGTCTGGCCGAGAGATTTTAATTAAGCACAGGGGATTAAGAATAGAGACACGTGGGGTTGATCGCTGGTAGGATGACTGGAGTTTACGTAACAGGTGGAAAGGGATTCTTACCCCAATTGGCTGTCATTGTAATACTTTTTGATTCTTGGACTTTGTTTGAATATATATTATATACGATTAGGTGTAATTTTATATATGTCATTGTAGACATATATGAAGAGAAATTCATTCGAATCTTTCCTTTTGGCAATTATGAGAAACACATACCTGCCTTTGGAAAAAATTAATGTCAATTCATATTGAGATAGCTTACTTATCTTCAAATAAAATTATTATTTATTTAGGATACCATTGGTAGGGATCGACTAGAATAATATTGTTTCACTGAATAGAACAAAAATAAGTCTTATTAACCCTTTGACTGCCACGCCGGAATCACATGTTTCCCTCAGGGAGCCACGAGAGTGCACAGCTAGATGCAAGATTTGTTCTAACATTTTTCTGATGTTCTAATAAAAATTTTTATTTCAAAGTATCTTCTAATTAGTAGTTGTATTCAAAATGTACTAATTGTCAATCTTCATTCAATGTTGTTCAATGTAGTTTAAGTAGCTCAAACGCTTCGGTCACCAATGAACACCATGAACTCACAGGAGAAACCATGACCGGTCATATATGACCAACGTGACAGTCAAAGTGTTAAGAATATCTTTGATATTTGTACCGTGATATTTATCGTGGTTGTAAATCAAAAATTAAAATTGGGAAGAAATAATTCTATCGCCTATTATAACAAGGTAGAACAATTTTTAACGAAGCCTCGTCCTAATTCATTTTTCGAGTTAATATATTTTGAAGACCAGGAACATGTATGACCGAGGACACTTTTATAACCACTGGCACATTTATACGACTCTTGGAATAGCTCTTGAAATATTTAAAAAGCGTTAACCCCGAAGACTAATATGTTGTTAAATTGTGACGAGATCTGATTACTAGAATTGACCTTCGTTCGATTTTTTCCACAAGGTATTCGCTCCAAATATTCTGCATTGCGTGAAACCAGGCCAAAGGTCCGAGGTGTCCGCAGAAAGGGCGGAAGAGAGGATGGACGTGATAAACGTGGTGAGAGCCCTTCTGGAAAATGCTGCGACGTTATTTACGGTACCAGCTGCCCTTCTGGACGAAGTCTACCTGCACATGATGGACACCCATCCGGCTGATTTGGATCTCGCCCTCTCCCGTCGTTCCGAAGAGTGAGTAGCTCGAATGGCCGTTCTCTATCTTTAATCTTCGATCCCACGGAGTCCCTTTGTCGAGTGTTCGAAGGAAATTCCTGAACGAACGACGACTCGATTTCATTTGATTACTATGGCAATGTTAGCTCAAAATTCTTCGACTTATCTTCTAATCAAAATTACCAAGCAGTAGACCTTCTCTGGAATGAAATATTTTTACCCAAATTTTTCTATATTTCTAAGTACTCTACATCCCTTACACGATCGGAGATCTAATTGCGATCATTCTACTCATCTTTTCTCTGTCAAAGAATCCTGCGTCTTTTCGAGCAGATTTTTAATTCGACCGGGACTCCGTGGTCGCATGGCAGAAAGCCAGCGAGGTTCGCGCGTATGTCAGTCAGCAAGTGGCCGTGGATAAAGTTGACAGCGAGTTTCGTGCGGTTTTTCGCAGGCAATGCGGAGACGAGGTGGACCCGTGCAGCGAAGCCGAAACCTTCTCGGTGGAAGAGACGCTGACGACGTCGACGACGACCACGGCCGGGACGACCACGTCGACCAGAAAGGTAACCGACACAGATCCAGCGAAATATCCACTGTTTCTCAGTGTTGCTCTGACGTCTACACGATCGAGGAAAGATATGGCTAGATTTCAAAGGGGCTAAACTTCTTCGATACCTTCGACGTTTCTATCCCTCCTTTTCTGTTTCATGAACATCTTCGAACGTTTCAAATTCAACTTCTTCATCGCGATTTTTATAGTCCGAGTCGTTTTATGGAACATTGAAGAACTTTTTTAATTAAAAGTCCAGGTAGCGTGTCGTTTATCCGAGTGTAAAGAGGTCGTAGGAAGTCTTACTTTCTGACTCTCTGATCTTGCAATAAATTTTTCGTTATTAATTCTATTCGATCCAAAGGTCAAGACCAAGAGGTAGAAGATTGGTCTGTTGATTTATTAACGAAGTACTGTGACTCGTGGATTCTCCTGTCACCTGAACAGTCCCTAGCAAAGGGCTATAATTGATCCCAATGGGATCCGAATTTGTTTAAACATCCACTAGATATACACAACCAATAGGAAAACAAGCACCCACTAAAACACACAACGATCAGAGAAATTTTCGATCACCAATAACACTCGCATCAAGATTGACACACAAAACTCAACCAACGTCCATTTTAAACCCTAACCAGGTCTACATCGATTAAATTTGATTAGATTGCATCCTGTAACACTGACTTGTTAGCGTGACAGGCCTTACAACCCTGCGAAACTTCAAATTAGAGTCGACAAGTAGAGCGGCAAAATATCTACACAGAAAAAATAAATAAATAGAATTTTGGCAATGAAACGGTGTGAAAATCGATTAAATTATGATCATTGAAGGTGTGGACCAGAGAACAGTGTCTTCACCAAACGGCCGGAGTAGGAGGAGACATAGGTCCCAGGCCGAGACGGCCAAAGAGGCCGGGAAGTCGGCGAAAAGAGGAAGGCAGGAGCAATAGCGTGGACAGTGGATCCAGCGAGGATCCGGCTGACCCACGGAGAAGGTCCTCGCCCATGGTAATCACGGCCAGTCTTACCATACCGATGTCCGGAGCGTTCACGTTGAACCTCGACGATCCGGACATTCCTTACATCGAGGAGGCTCCGAAGCAACCCAGTGCGCCACCGAGGAGGCAGAGGCAGCGATCGATTTCCGGTTGCAGCGAAGGTATGCCACAACATTTGCCAATTGCGTGTCGATATCCCCGGTTCAAAGTATCCTAATTTATTTCTACACCTTTCGTTCGATTATCCTTTCACCTCTATACTCGACAAGCGACTCCTGATTACCATTTGCTATCAGAAAAATCGTAGAAATCGATAATTAATTTTTAAGTTCGAAATAACCTACGCTATTCCTGCGACAAGAATGTCAGAGCTGTCTAAATTCCCGCTCTTTTATTCTCAATACATCGAGGCGATAATTGGCGAAATAAAACTAGGAAGGAAACGAGAAACGAGTACATTTGCAAGATTTCTCGGTCACAGGTGGAAGGCACGGAAGCGACAGTGCCGTAGGCTCTTCCGCCACGTTGTCCGGCGATCAGGCGCCAAGTTCTCCTCCGTCGTGGGCGTCGTCGCCACCTGCCAGCCCTGACAGCGCGGTCACCGCTGTTTCCTACATCCCCGACCAGCAGGCCGTTCTCCAAAGGGTGTCGTTCACCACCTCGAGCGAGGTACGCCAAGTGACCAGGTCGAGCAGCAGTCAAGACACGTCGAGGAGCACCGCGGCCCCGTACACGCCGAGCATCACCAGCATCGGTGGTGCGGTTTTGAGGTGAGAATCCTGCTCCTCTAAACTATGCCGGCTTCCGTGTGCAGCTGACAGGAATCGGCCGGATGATCTTGATTCGTGCTACTGTTCTGGTATTCGCGCGGAACATCTGGGACAGTTCGTTCACCCCCTCGAATGTAGTGCAACGTACCGTGGTGCATTCACCTTGATATCTCGGTATTAGGTCGTCGTTAGGTTTGCTCGTGCTTCTTGTTGTCGGTGAGATTCCTTTTTGCGGTGATTCGGCCGATCGTTATTTATCGGGTTTCGCCATTTTTACGCGCCAGTTGCTCCTTTTAGCCTTTGCTTTAACCACTTTTATTAGCGGTCTCTCGTCGGTTATCGTCGAACAAATACGTCGTTGGGTTATCGAATTACTCCATCGCGATAATCTTATCTGGAAATTCGATTCCTTCCTTTTATCAGAGCCATCGTCGCGAAAGCGAGTTCCCGTAGTAAAAGTTTCACCGCGAGTAATTCCATTTACGAGTCTTTTTTTCCCCCGATATCGTTTCCCAATCTAATTTCTTAATTCTGTCTACCGTTACAGCTTTTACCGCGATAGAGTAGCTAGTATCGTAGTGCCCGGGATCTCGATTTAGATATGTAGACGGATCTTCCGGGCTACCGTTCAACGTTCGCTAAGATTTCGATGGATCAGATCCACCGCGCCTTCTTGCAGGTCGAAGACCGCCGACATCGAGAGGATGCTGCACATCTCCAGACCTGACACCGGCATCGCGATGTCGCCGCAGAGCAAGACCAGCTCTACGACCACTTCCTCGGACAGCAAGAAGTATACCAAGAGACGTTACACGGACTCGAGGCATCAAACCCGTCATATCCCCGACTCGGACACGCTGGCGGGGAAAAACACGGTCACGGTTTCGTCCTCCACGTCCGTCACCGTGTCCTCCTCGTCGTCGGTGGCCGGCGCGCAGAACCAGCGAACTGGGGTGCAGCCGGTGTGGAAACGACGGGAACTCATCTCCAGCGCGCCCAAGGACAGGGAGGGCTTCTTCTGAACATCCCTGTGCGCGGTCGAATCGAACGCTGCGGGATCTCGATGGATCGTTTCCCTCGCAACTCGTTTGAAAACCGTTCTGTCAGGGAATTTTCTCGGTTTTCGAGAAGGTTGAATCGGGTTGAAGGAGATTCGAGTATTTCGGCGAAGAGTTATGTTCCACGGAGGGTGTTTCGTGGTAGCGAGAGAGAATCGGGTGAAGAAATTCGCGCAAACACGTGGTCTACTTGATTAATACATTTGGATAGAACGCGTGCTTAAATATAGCTTGAGGAACGCGAATTGACAGAGAAATAGTTTCGATGAAATTTGGATTGAATATACAGGGTGTTCCATTTGAAGATTCGCACTCGATTACATTAGGGTATCTTATAATTGTCATAAATTATAGGTAGATGTTTATTTTAGTACATTTCAGGATGAATAAATTGATCTATAATAATTCTGGTCTTTGAAGATCAACCAAGGTATATCATTGCTAATAGAGAAACAGTTCCGATGAAATATAAAAGAGCGTAAAAGACGAGACGAAGATCAAATAGATCATACAATTATCCAAATTTTGCAGCAAACTTAAAATAAAAATTAGTACAATTCGTTGATGTATAACAATAATTCTGCTCTTTGAAGATCGACCAAGGTATATCCTTGCTAATAGAGAAACAGTTTCGATGAAATATAAAAGAGCGCAAAAGACGAGATGAAGATCAAGTAGATCATACAATTATCCAAATTTTGCAGCAAACTTAAAATACAAATTTATACGATGAAACACCCTGAACGATACTCTAACCGATCTTCTCACTACTCGAATAGCACTGTCAAACTTCTTAAAGAAATCGAATTAAATTATAAATACCGTGCCTTAATTCGTTAATTAAATTCTTAAGGCATTGCATATCGTACGACCCCATTCTCATTGGGAATACTCGAGTATACGAAGAATCTGCGAATCTTTGACACTAGCAACGTACAAGGGAATATCAAGAAACTCTTTCAACCTGATTACAAGCTTTTCGTTCTCAACGAGCTTCTCGTAAGCTCCGATCGCGTTGATCCGAAAAGGGACCGAACGGGGTCCGAAGCAAGCGTACGATTCGATGGCGAAAAGTGTCCGCGAAAAAACAATATAGTAGTCATGTACATACAGACCAACGTACAAGGGAATATCAAGAAACTCTTTCAACCTGATTACAAGTTTTTCGTTCTCAACGAGCTTCTCGCAAGCTCCGATCGCGTTGATCCGAAAAGGGACCGAATGGGGTCCGAAGCAAGCGTACGATTCGATGGCGAAAAGTGTCCGCGAAAAAACAATATAGTAGTCACTGCCGATCAGGCGTGGCCTGGCAAAGTGTTCCTCGACACGATTCTCGCTTTGGAAGCGGGGAACCGTGTGTTCGACGTATCGTGGGGTGTCTATTGGTTCCTAGACTACCGTCCTCGCGCTCGCAAAGATCTCCGTGACGAAACGCACGACCCTCTCGCACTCTTTATCTCTCTTAATCCTTCTCTCATCGTACACACGTCTCCTCTCGTGCTCGCAGCGAGGATTACTCGCAACGAGCTCCGGCGAGCCGGACCAGGAGGCCTTTCTACCTTGCGGTTAATTTATACGGGAAAACAAATGGAACATTGATCTTGTATCTACGAACGTAACATTCTAATGTAGTAGCGACACGTTAGTAGCGATTTGTAAATTATTTTTATTACTCTAGACCCGAAGGATTCGTTCGAGTTGGTCGACGGCTCGCGAAGCAGCCACGCTGTCGCGATCAACGGCATCGATGGAATCCTCGACGAGCCAAAGCTAAGAAGGAAGACTAGTCTCGGGTTCCTTGAACTCGTGTCGGGCCATTCTATCTCTCTGGATCAGCTTCGATGAAACGAATGACAAGTCTCGTCTCTCTTTCTCTCTCTCTTTCTCTCTCTCTTTTCCGTCGAGACGGTGGTTCGTTGATCGTAGACTATTATTTTTGTAGAGTTACAGGTACCTAACCGATATCCGGTAGTTTGTGATCTAGCGATGACGAATCGGAACAGCTGAACTAATCAATTTTGTCTCTTCTCTTTACTTTCCTTCTTTCGATTGGTCCTCGTGCACGAGAAGTTATCTTGAATGAATCCGTGTACTGCCGTGAGGGACGCGTGGCCCGAAAGACGCTGTTGTTCGTCGTTTAAGTTTTCATTTTCAGTCTGTAAGCTAATAAATGAAGGTTAATTTTTTTACCATCTCGAGCAACCTTATTCCCGCTTCTCTCCCGGGGAATGTGGATATCAATGGAATATCGTTCGATGAAAATAAACGAGGAATTTCATAGTCCTCGTGCACACATCTGTGATCCTATCTTTCTCGCGTGAAACGGTGACGTAGAGAGATATCGGGATTGGAGGTTTGTAAATATGAAATTGGAGTTTCGATTCGGATCGTGGACTCGTTCGTACGAACGAAGCATGAGATAGAGGACTTGCAGGTGATCGTGAATCATAGAAATTCCTTTATTATCGATTTCCTCGCATACAGTCCTCACGCGATTCAACGTCGTACTGGTTGTTACAAAATTCACCGAGACGCAGAAACCTAGCGACTCGAGACGATCGTTCTCGTCTTTCAACGGGTAGCAAAATGTGCAAAAGAGTGAAAACATGAATTTCTTTTTTTTTTTTCTTTTTCTTCTATAGCTCTGATTACGTTTGCTGCGCACGCGTAAAAACCCGCGTACCGACCTCACTTTCCAGTATCGTTTATTACGTCCCTGAAAGGCAGAGTTAGAATCACGCAAGCTCTTTCTCGAAATCCAGGAAATTTTTTCTTTTTTTTTATCAATCTTTCTTCAACGCCATTTTTTAATCTTCTTTTTTTTTGTATTTTTCAACTTTAACGATTTTCGTAAACAACAGTGACGCTCCTTACGTCTCGGTATTTTTAATATTGAACACACAGTGAGATAGATTCTTTATCTTTGAGATATATTCCGTATAAATTCGGGAATTTTTTGAAAAATCAGTTCGTCGAAGCTATAAATAAAGCTTGGACCATTAAAAAATGCTGCGAGAACGGGTAATACGATGCTGAAAATTGCGAATGGTCGGAAAGTTGTGAAATTCTTGATCTAGCAAATTCTTCGACCCTTTTCCCGGTCTTCATCAGTGGATATCGAAACAATCCTTGCGTAGATCTTACGAAAAGACACCGAGCTCGTGTTATTCGTTCCGGCAAATAGTGTTAACGATAAAAGTAAACGCAAGTGCATCTGTAGGTATACCGTTCAAGGTAATTACTCTCTACGAGACAGAAATGCGAACTTAAAAAGGAATCATCTTCGAAGAGGTGTCTACGAAAACACAATTTGATGGACGTCGCGTTAAAGTGACAAATTTTTTCCCGGGAACAAAAACAAAGAGAAAAAAAAATAAATAAATGGAAATCTACCAAAAGTCACCACGTAACTCTTACAAGAATAATCGGGGAATAAATTTCGATCGAAACAAAACTTCGACTCGGTTTAAATAAATAAGCGTCAACAACTATCCACGCATGGTTCTACGCGTAAAAAGGGGGAAAAAAATAAAATAAAATAAAATAAAATAAAAATAAAAATTAAAAAGGAAACCATCGGACTCATGCGTCAATATCGACCCTCGAATAAAAATCATAAATAGCTCCAAAACTATCGACGAAAGAAGCATAAAAAAGGACTTCCTTTGAAAAAGAATAGTGTCACGACACCAACAGCAACGGTAATAAAAAATAATATTAATAATAATAATTTCTAACGAGTAAAACGAGTTTCTCTTGTTCGAGACCAATGACACGAGCGTAACACACCTCACGTGCCTCGGAGTACCGCGCAACATATACATATTTATATATTTATATATAAATTTCTTTCGCAAATATTTATATATATATATATTAAAACAATCGCTAAAAAATATAAATATATTTATATATTTATATTCGTATATATAACTCTCGCCGTTTCACGGCTAGCTGCCTACGCAGGGCTGGACGGATGCGACGCAGTAAGTATTTTATTTATACTTCGTTCCTCCAACGAGGAAACGAGTTGAACCTACAATGCGACGAACAAGGAGTGTACAGAGAAAAAAAGGAAGGTTAGATTAAACAACAGAGGACGGAGAAAATATAGTGCGTGAACACGAAGTGGGAGAAGGGGAAAAAGAAGAAGAAAAAGGAAGATAGGAAAACGTATCACGTATCCTGCGACTTGCATGACGCATGGCGATGTTATTACTGGAACGCGGTACTTCCTCGTTTCCTTTTCACCATTTTCCCGTTTTTCCCCATTTTTCCCCCCCTACCCTTTTCTCGAGTTCCTCGAGTACATCGAATGGAGGTGCCTGCCGTTCCTCGCGTCGTTTCCACGAACGCGAGACGTACCGATTGTCCCAAGAAGAATTCAACGGTGAAAAGAATGTCGTTCGTAAGTCCGCGTCGGCCATCTTGGATTTTAGCATCGCTTTGTATTCGCTGCGAGCGGCTTCCGTAATTTATTTCTCTCGTGCGAGATAAATTCAACGACTGTGGTATCTTTTGGAATGAAGGATAAACACGAGTATATTTGCCCGGTCGATAGGAGAAGAACGCGAAAAAGGCCCGGGACTCGGGAACGACGAAGATCGATTTCGTTAAGTATTCCATATTTCTGCAATAAATACTTCACATACCTCCGAATTAAATATTTTACACGCGAGTATAGCTTCGATAATCGGACAAAGATAGAGAATACTTAAAGAAAGAAACGAGATATTCGAAAGGAATTATCGAATATCGGAGAATCGGCACGTTCCAGTAATAACACAGCTGACAAATCGCGAATTTAATTCTATGCTTCTAGTTGTTCGCCAGATCCTCGAATAAGTTTCGATCTCTCGATTTCACGCTTAAAAAACGATAGTTAACAATCTGCTCCAATTTTCTTCGCTCGAGCATTCTATAACGTAATACCCATAGCGTTAAGCGGCTCCAGCCGTGACGTAGATCGATGATCGAACGACGAAATCATTGTCGATCTCTTTTCTTTTTTCAAAAAGAAAAAAGCGTTATCGTTGGTCGGTTTGATCGAGCGCTGTAAATGTCTGGCGTAATTAAAATCCTGCACGAAATACCGGATGTATCCTGGATATCGATCATGGCAATGCCACTTAATTTTCACACCATCGCTCTGCTCGTCGTTCAGCGACGCGCCAATCTTGATCAAACAATTACCAGTTGTCAGAATCGGTCGTTCGAATTCCATTAACCATCTGCGGTCTAAACGTTATTCTATATTCTATACGTTGCGGGACGATACCGCGATCCTGGAGTATTTATTAGCCAGGTGAAAATTTCGACAGACCTTTCATCGGCTTTTCATCTTTCGTGCAGGAATTCTAATAGAGATATATCGATAGACATCGCTGTGAAATTCAAATTAGAAAGGAAAAAGAAATTTTTACAATTAAAATTCGCACAGACTGAAACGTAATTCAAACAATGGTTTGAATTTAAAAAAAAAAAAAAGAAAAAAAATGCCGATGATTTTGAAATGCAAAAGAAACAGAGGAGTATATTCCTCTGGTATCTAGTTCTCATAGTACTTAAAAAAATTACCTCGTCCGAGTAATCGATACGGTTCTGAAACAGGCCGGACCTCCCGACAGTCTATTGCGTGAAGCAACCAGACCGCAAAGGGTTAATTTCTTCTTGTTCACGGCTGGAACCGCTGGGAACTTAAATCGTAATCTCACCGAACACGACTGGCTGATTCTCTCGATCCTCGACCGATCGAGCGCTCTAAATCCGTCAGCGTCTCGGATATCTTTAACACATCGCGACTTCCAATTTAATACCAATTTCGAATAAAATAAAATAAAATAAAATAAAAGTAAAAACCTTAAAAATCCTCGATAAATTACAACCTCGCGGTCGTGTTGAAGAACGCGATCGCGAGAAAAGGAGAAAGAAAGAAATAAAATGAAGGAACCACGCGCAAGGCACCGTCGAAAGCTCTCGTGAAGCGGATCGAGGAGAAAATTCTGCGGGGGTGGGTCGTAACCTCCACGGTCCCCTTTAAATCAGTATTGTCACGGCAGCCATAAATATCGGCGTACGTCAGACGACGCTGGCGCCTTGAGCCGAAGGTTACAATGCTCTCGAAGACGTCACGACGCCATTGGAAATTGTACTCGGAGCAATTTCCCTCCCCAGTTCCTCGATCACTTTCGACAGGGTTTATTTCCTACGTCCTCACGGTCGCCCTTCCATCACGCGATAAGACTATCGGGCCTTTCGTTCGCAACTTTTTAATCCGACATCGCGACGGAGTGCTTTCGATCCTCCTCGACCAGGCGTCTCCCCGGAGGTCCTCGAATAATCGACCAGACCGAGAAATCGTCGAGGACTTACGGCTTCCAACGATACACCGATATATACTCGTTCCTTATCCACAACCTTATAGCTCTATCTTTACAATTTATTTATCCGTCTCGATGATATTCTTCGTCAATGAAAGAACCTTCGTCAACGAAATATCAAGCGAAACGAAATTTCGGTTACAGAGAGCGAACGAGTATTCGCGGATAGACGCTGGTTAGACACCTTCGGTGTTTCGGTGGAAAAGTGTGCGAAAAACGGAAACAAGGCGGGATAGTCGAGTTCGACAAGCATCGCTACCTTCTCCGGGAGTATTGAAAAGCTGGTAAAAAAGTTCGCGGAGCCGTGGTCCGCTTTCGCGATAGAAAAAGTCCGTGGAACTTGCCTCGTCTCGTTCGCGAGCGAATTGTCGTATCGTATCGTTTCGTTTCGTTTCGCGGGAATGCTTGATCGACGAGGCGTGGACAAAGAAAAATTGATCGAGGCTCGCGTCCTCGCCGAAATTCGCGGAACGAGCAACGCTTAAACCTCCGTCGAGTGCGTTTGAATTCGCACTTTCTTCTGCGAGCCGTTCCTCGAAAGCGTTGGGCTGTGCGCTGAGAAGCCGGGATTGTGAATACCCAGCGGTTTTGGCTTCTTCAAGGAGCTGCGAAGCGGCGAAGCCGTGCTCGTCACGCTTCCGGAAGTCGCCACGGACGCCATCGAGCCGTTTCCGGCTCCGCCGACGTAAGGCTTGCCACTGGCGTCGGTCATCGAGATGCTGCCACCTGAAATTACAGAGCAAAATACCCCTTTTTTAAATAATATTCTCTATAACACTTTTATGATAATTAATATATCATTTGTTATAACATTTCACTGGGAAACGAAGAAATTTCGCATCCCTTTCGTATCCTTTCATGGACGAAGATTAGAAAATGGTATGCAATAGGGGTGGTCAATTTCGTTATGTATATGATGCACTATTTTTCTTAAAAATGTGTCGTGGAAAAGAAGAAAATAGAAGAATTGTCAATGTCACGAAAAATCGCTTCGCGAGAAACCTGTTTGCTATTCCTAGTATGCAAGATGTCCCAGGTTTCAGGTGCCAAATTTATATTTATATTTATCCAACATCTCCTTCTCGTCTCTGATGCACTGACAGAATTTGGTACCTTAAATCTGGGACACTGTGTGTGACGAAATATTATTCGAAAGTATCATGTTAAAAAATTGTAATTTTAATTTTTACGTGGGATTATCTTCATTCCGAAATTGAAGCGTGACTTGGACTAGAGTCTTGTATGTTACCGTTGCTGCTATTTATTTGAGAACAGGTCACGTTATAGAGTGCGACTAATTAAACGAAGAAACCGGTGTAGTAAAAGCTGACAAATGAACGTTGAACAAAAAGGATGAGAAACTGCGGAAGAGATAAGAATTGGATTATTTCGCGTGCTTTCACTTCGTGATAGCAGAGGAACATGTTTCGAAATTGATTGTCGAGCGGAACGCCCGTCATGTTCCTCGTTCCAGTGCACTCGATTAAATTCTACCATCGAACTCCAGCTAAGAAGATTAAACCTCGATAAATAAGGAAGAAACTACCATCGATATACTTCGAGTACGTTTGAAATAAATTTTCTGTAATAAATTTCTGAAATACAGAATTTTCCTGGACATAATAATCAGAACGGAAGACAAAACGTCGAGTTGTCGAGTTTCTTGCGAGTGTTAAACTGTTTCAACTTTTTCGTGGACGAGTCGCAGTTAATAAGGATGTAAGATCCGCATGTAATTACTAATTACAACCAGGACAAAATATTACGTAAAGCAAGCAGAACATCGTGCACTGGCAATTAGTTGTGGAATTTCTCATTACAGCAGGATGTCGAGGATCATTTTTTAAACACGATACGAATTGCTCTAGAGGTATCTCGACAACTTCTAGTGTACCGACTTACGAATAATCGTCTCGCATTGATGAATTTATTTGTTTTTCATTGATCAATCATTCAGGAAATATCTGGAACATGTTTACAAATGCAATCTTTTAACCCTCTGCACTCGACGATTTTTTGGCTAGAAAAGAGTAGAAATTCAAAGATTCTCTACTAAAAACCTGACGATACTTCTTCGAGCAGTAAATAAAGAATTGTATAATAACAGAATTGTAGAATTATTTGATTTCGATACCTAGCACACTGTTACATTACTTTAAATTTGATATATTAAATAATATCGATCTTCCAAATTTTATGAAATGATGACTGAAGATCACCTCTCGAGTGTAAAGGGTTAAATCTATGAGATTATCGTAATTTTTAATCTTTCACTTTAATCCGAACAAATAGAAAAAGAAAAATAAATTATTTGCTTCGAGTGTAACGCGTGGATCATTAATGGATCATTAACAAGTTGATTGCTACGCTATATTTGCATATTGCACGCAGGAGACCACAGGAGTATTTCAATTATTATAAAATGTAATGATAAAATAATAAGAAATACGATTATATGGAACCATGTGCTTCTCCATGATGCATTTTTCATTCTGGTGGTCATGGGTGTACGTAGAGCATTTTTTCCCCAGTGTAAAAAATCACTATCAATGATTTTTACATGATAAGATATATCCTAGCAACCTAATAAATATTAAGAACGCGTACAGTGCTAAAATATATAAATTTTTTAAATTAAAATTGTTGATTGTTCAATAATGAACTCCTGATTTGGAAACTGAAATTGTCTAATTAGCTGTGACATTCTCAGCTAATTAATCCACGATGTCCATTCTATATCGACGATTTTAAAAATTCGAGGCACTCTGGTCACTGACGAACTGATGACCACCATGACCTCATCGAAGAAACAATCTCTACTCACAGGTGACCCATGTGATAGTTCTAAGACAAAGCAGAGTAGGAACAACTAAATAAAATAAATACGAGTATCTAACCTGTAAGCTACGCGTTGTTATGTTTGACGCGGGAAAAATCAGGGATCTAAAATGCACGAAAAATTGTGCCTCGCCCGCGATGCAATTCGATGAACACTCGTGTCACGTTGCACGTATGCATTCACGTACGCGGCAGTAATATTTAAGCGCACCTGCGCTCTCGCTACGTGGAAATTCGTGGAGACGTTTTAATTCACCATGGGACACGATCACAATGGACACACAATGGACACACGGGTGCAGTTTCGCACTGTGACATCCGAACGCGAAGTTATTTGAGAAAAAATCGCCCACGCCTCTCTTCCCAACGCGGTTCAAATTCCTCCCTGTTCTATATTTTTACTCGCAAGTAACTACCCCCCTCAAACTTCTCTTATGGTTTCGATACCAAATTTTCTTCTAAATTTTGCAAAATTCTCTCGTGAAATTCTTCTCCGATTTCCAATTTATCTTAATTCGATTTGCTTAATTTCTTTTTTTAAATCTTTAAATAATCATTTTATTTTGATTTTTAAAAAACCTTTGACGAATTTACAATCTATCTTGATTCGATTTGCGCAATTTTTTAAAAAACCTTTGACGAATTTCCAATCTATCTTGATTCGATTTACGCCATTTTTTAACCCTTTACACTCGACGATTTTTTCCATTAGAGGAAAATAGTAATTCGAAGATTTTCTACCATAAAGTCGACGATATTTTTAAAACGGTAAATAAGAAATCGTATGCAAATTAAGACGTAGATTTATTTTACTTCGATATTCCAAACATCGTTGGGTAATTGTAAATTTCATATATTAATTAACATCCATCTTTAGAATTTGATTAAATGGCGACTGAGAGGCGCCTCTCGAGTGCAAAGGGTTAAAAAGCGTTAGACAAATTTTCAATCTATTTTAATTCGATTTGCGTATCTTTATGAAGAAAATTCAAAGATAATTTAATAAGCGTTTAATGGATGCGAGTTTGCTACTTTCCTTCTCAAAACTTTACCCATAAGCCTGCTATTCGAGGCCCGACCAAGTGTTTCCTCGGCCTATTTGGCTCTTCCTTATGTCCGTTTATCTGTTCCTTCAACGATCCTTGTCCCTTGTATTACTTTGTTCCCTCTACACACGCGAGGACCCGATGTCCCGTTCAATTTTGTTGCTCGTTGACCTTTTTCTTCCCAAGTTCCGCGTCGATTCTTCCCTTCCGTTATCCCTTATTTCGCTGCTCTCCCACGTACGATCTCTCTATTTGCTCCCTTCACCTTGACTCCCATCACGTTTCACATCCGAACACATTTCTCCGGCATATTGAGTTTCCATCAGCTGCTAGGCGAAGGTCCTCCAACTTCGCAGCCAAGTGGCAACCTTCTCCCAGAGGGGAAGACCTAAAAAGGGTGTTTAGGCACTCCGCCCACGCACTGCCTTCGTGCTCGACACTTGCTTTCGGGCGAAAAATACTCTCCTAATGAGAGAAAAGAGAAGAAATCTTCACGCACCCAGGAAATTCGAATTCGTTTCAGAGTTATCAATGGCTACTTTTCCAAGTTTCTGTCATGGTATTAGGATTAATTAATTCCCTTTTATCAGAAGAATATTTTCTAAAGAGGATGTATCGAGATCGAGACATTTTTAGACCATTTTGTTGGGACCAAAGACATTTGCAGAATCCTCATTTGGATGCGGTTCTTTTCGAGAAAGAATTTTATAAAACACGTAGGATGACAACTCGTTTTATTCAACACCGCTATGATATAACATTTCCAAGTTATAATTTACATAAGCGACGTATGCAGTAGGTTTTTCTTCATAATGGCCTGCGAGTGACGCGTTAATCTCTGGACATAATCGAGATATTCACATGGAAAATAACGAATACAGAAATTGAGGTATCCTTTCGTCATGTTGTCATTGTAACCTTGAACGTAACCCGTTTAAAATGGCGCGTCAATGCGAGGCCTCTATCGGGACCTAAATGGACGTTTTCCTTCGTTAACCACATAAATGATATTCCGATGAGGAAAAGGCTTTTCCTTTGCGCTGAAAGCTAAGAGCTTTCTCTTTGTTCCATAGAAACGCCTCGCGGTGCATCGTGAAATACGTATATTAATACCCCACGCCAGGAAAATAACGAAATTATAACGAAATCACTATGAAATTACAGCGAAATAACAAATTTCCGCAACCTTGCTAATTTTATTTCCTGTGTCGATGACTCAATTACAAAGAGTTTAATAACCACAGCGCGTTTAAAGGACAGTTAGTCGAATTTTGCTTTATCTCTTCGATCAGATTCTTTCTCGCTGCGTGACGCGAATTTCTAATTTCGCGATATGAAATTCAAATGAGACTCGAAACGCAAATTAAGAAGACAAGTGTGACGAATGAAACTATGGGGAGCACGTGTATTTTGGTGCGGCAACCCTCGGGTATTGCGCAGCCACATTACTGACGTAACTTAACTAATTAAATTCTGCGCTATGCAGAAATTTGTCAACAATTTGGACAATCGTTAACCTAAATATTTGCGGTTGGTGAAATATCTACAAAATTTTTAATCAAAGATTCGTAGATTTTGTAATTAATTATAAAATCGTTAAAACGAAGAGAAGAATCTAATTCGATATTTGACGAATTTTCTTTCTCGATTTTTTAAATTCGACGAGCAAAGAAATTTCAAACCGGAGGATCCAATATCGAAAATTGGCGGGTCTCGCGATACGACATGGAAGATTTACGAATTCTACGAGGCACTGGAATTCCACAGCGCGCTGTAGGAAATCGTCCTGGATCCCGAGATTCAGCCAAACCCTTCTTACTCGCGATTATTTATCGCGGAGCCAATATCGCGAATAAGGGAATTGCGAAACTCCTTCGCGTGCTATTGCGTGAAAAAGGAGTACCAAAATTCGACTTCGTTTCGGGATGCCATACACGCGCACCATTTCGTAATGCTCTGTCCTTTGCTACGAAATATGTTACTATTGCTTCTCACGAAATCTCTCCCCGACCACGCCATTGTGACAGAGGTCTTACGGATGCAAGTGCCCTTGAAATGCAAATGACGCGAGGAGAGAAAACATCTTACACCACACGCCACTAACGATTCGTCGAATATTTATTCTTTTCAATACACCAGCTAAAACAAACGTAACAAAAAAGAAAATAAAAGACAAATGGCGAAGCGCGCCATTTTGAATCTCATTGCCAGTGTCATTCGTAAACATGTTGCTTTCATTCAGAAACACGTTTTGCAGCTTCTTTTGATTAAATTTCGTACACGACAGCGAGATGAAAAAGGAGAGAAATTAATTAGCCATGCAGATAATTAAACAGAGATAACGTGTTCGGTGAACTTACCGTTCGTGGGTTGATGTTCCCGGTAGCCGGGATTATTTATGGTGGCTGCACGAGGATCACCGACAACCCTAATCTTCGTCGGGTCACCGCCTCGTCGAGCATAAATACCCTCGTACACCGCGGTCACCAGCACACCGAAGTTCAGGGCGATGGCTGCCAACTGTAACAGCAAATATCGGATCCTTCCCTCGATAAAAGTTCCAAATCGATCATTTACATGTCGCATATACATACACACACATCAATATAAATTAAAAAACGAAATAACAATTTGCGTATTTTATATGTCCTTTATCTTCTCATACTTTTATCACGTAACATAAACTCACCCCTTATAACAACGTGTGACGATTGACAATTGATTAATCGAATTTCGCAATTTCACGAGCTTCATCGTAAAATCGCGGGGTTTTAATAAAATAGGTGGAACAAAGCAAAACAAATTTCATTTTCCCCCGGAATGACAAATCCGGATGATTAATCGATCAAGAGGGATTTAGAGGGTGCGCGCGAGTTTGTCCCGTGCTAAATTCCCCGTGAAGCCATTACAAACCGGGACGTTCTATTTTTCAAGAAATTAAACTTTGCCGCATTTATCTTTGTCCGTTGCTCTGGTACTGATAGTTATTGGTCGAATCGATTTAGCTAAACGATTTACGCGAACATTGGATCGCAGGTGAAACGCGACGCTTGACAATTAACGAGGGTAGTAAATGATTACCGTTTCGAAAATTCCGCAATTTGACGAGGCTGAAATTATAGGTGTTTACATCGATTTTGTACTCTATTGACGGATAATTTGACCCGGTATAATTAACCACTCCCGGATAAATTAACAATTACCGAGGACAAACAACGGTTTCATTAAATGGTCTGAAAGTTCTCGTCACACTGTACGTTCTAAAATAGATTCCTCGCGAAGATGCATTTCTCGCTGTATTTTTAAGGGAGAAATCAATTTCGCGGGAGAAATTATCGGGGAACCGACGATATTAAAATTAACGTTATCCGTAGGAAAATAGGAAAGGGGTGATTAATTTTAATCGTGAGAGAATTTTAAAAATTCGCGTTTGTTTGCTCGATGGAAATGAACATCCTCCTACGCTTTTAACGTGATCTCTCCACGCGTATTAAACCTTGGAACGGTCTGAAAAAAGAATTTCCAAAAGAAAATTCTTCCTAATTCCCTTCCTCTCTAAGTAAATTTAATAATCGATAAATAAACGTAAAATTTAAAATTGAAACTGCACTTCTAGACCCGCGTTCCTGTACCAGTTTGATGATACAGTTATACCCAAACACTACGGTAAATTTTAATTTTCGTTACTACCGTCGTGGCAATAATTACGTCGCTTAATCTCCCATTTTAATACTGTTACTCCTTAACTCTACCAGGCCATTATTACGCGATTAAGAATAACGAAACGCGACACTGGGGTCCGTGATTACGCAAGAGGGTGATCAGCCCGTTCCACAGGCCATTGGATTAATTAGATTAATTATCAGAGCGAGTTATCGTATCCGCACATACGGTTCCTCGACACAGGTGACACTTTCCATTGTTCAGGAATTGCTAAGGTTCATCCTCATTATTCCTAAAGTCCACCCTCATTGTTCCTAAGGTTAAATAGCCGGTTCTTGTCAGATTATCTATAGGCAACGTATGAATAGCGAGGATATGTTTGCACAGAAGGATGAGAAATTATTAGGATAGCCTTGAAATACCGTTTCGGCGGTCTTATATTCCTCATCAGGAAAAACCATATTGCCGACCTTGTATTCAGGTAAAACACGAAGACACCTTGAAGCTTGACCATCATATACGCCAAGTACCTGAAGTATAGGGGAATAATTCCGTTTGCTTTTTCGTTTGTAATCCCCCTACTTTTATATCTGAAATTCGGAAATTCCAACCAACTACAAATTCGATAGACCCACCGAGGGTCTACATAAAGGTTAGACCTGTTAGCTCGTAGAGTATAAAAAGACGCGATAGCAAGATAGATAGAGAGTCTACTTAATATTTCGAAGTTAAACAGAACCTCGTTAAAGGACCGTCTGTCACTAATCGTCGTCAAGCAAGAACGACCTACTGACGATATACAGGTACACTGGTTCATCTAGTCTATAGATTTAACCCTTTGCACTCGAGACCTTCAGTCACCATTTCAAAAAATTTGGAACATCGATATTAATTAACCCTTTGCACTCGACGACTTTTGGCTAGAGAAGAGTAGAAAATCAAAAATTCTCTATTAAAAAACTGACGATACTTTTTTGAGCAGTAAATAAGGAATTGTATAATAATAGAATTGTAGAATTATTTAATTTGGATACCTTGCAAATCCTTTCGATCTTCCAAATTTTATGAAATGGTGACGGAGGGTCACCTCTCGAGTGCAAAGGGTTAATATATCAAATTTGAGGAAATGGAACAGTGTGCGAAGTATCGAAATTAAATAATTCTACCTGTTAATTATTATACGATTTCTTACTTATTGCTATAAAAATATTATTAGCCTTATAGCAGAAAATTTTTCAACTCGTATACCTCTTTAGCCAAAAAATCGTCGAGTGCAAAGGGTTAAATTAGAAATACAGTACGAGATACGTGAGATTGAGAAAGGGGTGCCATTGAACGGGGGTGTTACCTGCAGCCATAGATCTATCTGTTCTATCCTTTATGATTACAGCAAATGAGTAAAAGCGTGTTCCACTATCATATTATCGAATCAACCTCCTGTTCCCACAGTTTTCACCCATGTTGCTGTTTCTTCTTGCGAAACACGCTCGATCAGCGTGCGAAGGGGGTGGGAGCGGAAAGGACACGGAAAAGGTCGAAGGAGAAGAGGAATTTAATTAAGACGTACAAAAGACGCCGGGAAGCCATTGTTTCGCTGCAATAATTAATTCACCGTTGTTCTTTCCTTTTTTCCTCCTTCCTTCCGCGGCGCCCTTCCGTCACCCCGGTCTACGGGGGAAAAAGGGAAGAGGAAGCGGTCGGAAGCCGAATTCCACAGCTTGGCGACAATTTGATTAATAACGGTACTTCCTCCGAGCTCTCTTCGTCAACCCACGCGCCACCCTGGCTAGGTTCGTTATGGAGGGTCGAATGGGGGAAACACGGTGGCTGCAAACACGGTTAAACGGACGCGAAAAGGGGTGGCGAGATGACGTCACCACAACGCGGGGTGTTTGCAGAATTTTTTACATTTCGCGAGAACACCCCTGTCAGAGGATGGCCTCGGGACCATGTTTCTGGAATAATAAGGGGATTATATCGGGGGTAGAGCGGAAAGTTTGGAGAGAGACGATTTTCAATTAAATTTTTAATATTGCCAATTTTTTTTCTTTTTTCTTCGTGGTGTGGGGTGTTAAATATTTTTTGGCGATTGAATAATTTTCTTCCAATTAAATTTCGAAGATTCAAAGGATTTTGGAAGTATAAAAGGATTATTCGTTTAGAGTACAGTTACTTTTTTTTAAATATTTTTGTAGTACGGAGTGTTAAATATTTTCGGACGACTGATTAATTTTCGGATATACTTTACGTTTCGTAGGTGCACGTATACCGAAGGGTGTCCTTGGCACGGTGCTTATGGAATAATAAGAGGATTATATCTAGGGTAGATCGAGTAGATTAGAGCCAAATCGTTTTTTAATGAAATTATAATAATTTAAGGTTTGAAACAAATATTGAAATTCCTTAGGTAACGAGATTACGAGAAGTTACATCAGAGAGTGGAATTGCTAATGAATAATCCCCCTGCTAATTTATTCGATAAAAAAAGATGAGTTTGACGTGTTTAAAATTAAAATTTTTAATTATTCGCGGTATTATTCAATTGCGCAGAACGATAAAGATTCCACGGATTCCTCTGGAATCGTTGTTCGTTGGGTAAGTAGAGGTAAAGTAATCAGGAAAAACATGTCACGTGCCTTTTTGTAGATAGCTTTACGGTTGAAAAAAGGTTTCCTAATGGTTATTTTCCTACCGAGGGGGCAAGGCTTTTCGCAGATCACGTCGCAAAACGTTTCCTCGCCCGTTTTTCTCCGAGCAGTAAAGTAAGGGAACTCGAAAGGAAAGACCCCCTGTCTCTTTGCATTCGGGCTGTATTCAGCGACGAATTACTTTACAACCATTCGTTCTGCGTGCTTTTTTCGAGGCCACGTTGAAGGGTGGCTCCCGATGTTATTAACGCCGAGAAGAAAAATGGATTAGAAAAATAAAATTTCATATTTCTTCCTCCATTCATCGCGAATACGTGCGAAACATTCGAATGCTGATCTCGTTGAGTCTCCTAAATGTACCCTTTGCTTATTAAAAAATATAAAATTTGGAAATACGTACACGATTCGAGTCTTCGATAATCTCATTGTGCCTCTCGAAATTATCCTATGGCTATTAAAAAGTACAAAATTTGCAATTATACGATGCTCTCTCGTCAATTCCGATAATTTATCCGATGCTTTTATTCGAGATAAATCCACCACTATGGAAAATATAATTGTAATTTCTCATTCGGATTGCTTTCCTCATAAAGTTTCATTAACTCTGAGTTAATTTAGTAACAAATAAAATTCAGAAGCTTCCATTGCAATTGCAATTTTCCCTGCCAATTCCGATAATTTATTCGACAACTGTGTACGAAATAAATTTACGAGTACCAAAAAGACAAGTCTAATTTTCCACCCAGACTGTGCTCCCTATAACCTGTCATCGATCGCGTCAAATTTACTCTGCTCGGTAAAAGACATAAAATTTGGAAATGGAAATTTCCCTCGGCAATTTAAATAATTCACTCACTCCTGTTCACGATAGACACAAGGCTACCAAAAAGGTAACCGTAATTTCCCATCCGGCTCGCTTTCCCCATAACGAACCTAATCTCGCACTCGATCGACGTCGCAACGAGAAATAAATGTATCTTATATCCCACGGAAACTGTAAATAACGACCGTTTGATCCCGAGGCGTACAAACACCGCTACTGTCGAATACCAAGCGCACTTCCGGCGAAATCCCGGTGACTTAACACACTGTTATAAATCGCGGATGGATGTTACCTTGCTCTGTTTCTGTTTGTTCATTTTATCCAGCTCGATCTCGTCCTTGGCCTCCCTCAAAAGGCTCCGCCTCTTCTTTTCCATCATCTTGCAC